ATAATTAAAAAATATTTTAAATTTTAAGATTTTTTAAAAATATTTTACATTGCATACTTTTAACGCATTTTTTATATTCCACAAGATGCCGGGATTTGTAATTATCTTTCTTAGTACTTTTCTCCCATAGCTGATTTTCGCAAGGTAACAAAGACACATTCAAAAATATATATTAAGTCACTCAGTCAGTTCTCAGTCGCGCCATAAAGGAAAGCCCCAAACGATCCATAAACCAGCTTTCAAGCGGATGAGGAAAACCGCCGCACAGCTCGTTATCCCTGAAACAAAAAGAATTCGCCGACGAGCCGCAAACTGGGCCGATATCCCCGCACGCGGAAAGGCGGAACTCCGAAAAGTATGGCGAACAATGAAGTCGTCTGCGGCGCGAATGTTCGCGGACAGGCTCTCAGCATAGCTGACGGTACACGAAAGGGATCTCCGTAGCTCATCCTGGCAGGTACTTTTATCTTCGCGGCGGGCGCGAGAATGTACTCGCGAGGTATCCGGTGGCAACGCATCCGGCGGAGTCGGAGAACGAAGTGGCTACTGACGAGAGACGAAGAGAAAGGAAGAGATAGAGAAAGAGAGCTATTCGTCGGCCGGTGGTGGTGAGGACGATGGTGGCGGGTTTCGGTCCCGGTGTGAGCGGCGTTATCTGTAGGGGGGCGTCGACATTTAAAATGCAGATTAGAGTACGGAGGAACGGGCGCAAACGCAGACGTAAACGTAAGAGCGTTGGGCGGCAAGTGTTTTATTGGGGCCAGCTTCCGTTTCTGCCTTCCCGGGTCGGGTCGGGCTGTACGTGATGCAGCGCAGCGCGATGCCACCGCGCAGATAAAGTCACAGCCCCCGAGCTTTAACCGCCCGCTAATTTATTGATCCCTGATTTATTTGACACGGCTGGCCGCCGCAGCTTTAATTGCCCGCGAAGCGAATTTGACGAATTTTAATAGGACACGAGAGAGCTGCTGCCGATAACTTCTGCGCGCCGCTCTTTCACGCGTGATGAATTTCAACGGGAGGGGACTGTCTTCATTTTACAAATGCGCGTGTCGGAAAAGTTTTGGCAGCGCTCCATCATAGCGGGTAGCGGGATGGAAACGTCACCGATTTGATCTGTTTAAAGATTACTTATCTGACGGATTGTTTTCTGCGTTGCAAAATGTCGATATAAATGTCAATCGTACTGTAAAAGATTTTTTCTTTTGCATCAAATATATTACTTTCTGACAATTTTCTCCATCGATTACATCATCTTATCATAATAAATTTTGATTTATTATGATTTATTATGAATATATTTGATGCACTTTAGATTTTAGATTACTCTGTGCATCTTGTATCAAATATAATTTTATTTAATTCGTTTATATATACAAGCTTTTAACGAGTCTATTAATCAAATATTTTTTGCATAATATCAGATCATGTGCAAGGTAGTCTTTCATAGATGCATAATTTATGTTTTTATGAGAATTTCTACAAGATAAATTGGCCGTGAAATGATTCTACATGCAGACATTTCTGCTCCCTCTATCCATGAAATTATCCGATCGATTAAAAGATAGTTCTCGCTCGATAGACTGCCCTTTGGTGAGCAATTACGAACAGACTCGAGACCGGCAATGGAATTAAAATACATCAAATTAATCGACTAGCTGGGCAAGACTTCGAGAGCGTAACGCGATTTACATATCTGTACAAGCTTGTTTGACTTTAAGTACCGCGGCAAGATCGATTCGCCGTCCGAGCAGCACGCGACTACGAGCAATCGTGCTAGGAACTCGATGAAAGTTTACACAAGCAATTGGCACGGGAAGGGGAT